ATATATATATATATATATATATATATATATATATATGTATGTATATGTATGTATAATAATATAAATATGTATACCTCTGCGGCAAGGAGGTGTGCAAGGAGGCAATATATATATATATATATATATATATATATATATATATATATATATATATATATATATATATATATATATATATATATATATATATATATATATATATATATATATATATATATATATATATATATAATAACACACACACACACACACACATATATATATAATATATAATATATATATATATATATATATATATATATATATATATATATATATATATATATATATATATATATATATATATATATATATATATATATATATATTATATATATATATATATATATATATATATATATATATATATATATATATATATATATATATATATATATATATATATATATATATATATATATAGACACATTCTGTTTGCTGATGGCATAAAGGACATATACCTGTCGTTGCAGGTGTTTCGGGAGCTGCACTTAATACTGTAGCTGACTGGGCATTACTAAGTTATTTTAATTAGCGTTTTCCCCTTGGCAGCCTGGCACGATTTATGAAATAAGAGAATATCCTGCAGAACTAGGGAATTACACGCCAATTTCAAATACCCCATATCACTCAAAATCTATCCATATTGCATACGTATAGATAAAGGACACTGTTTAAAGGATTAACAGTTTCCTCTCAAGAAGAGGGAGGGGAGCACCCACGGACCATCCCAAGAAGGTGCACACGTGGACATTCTTCTGTTTAATTTTTAATAAATCTATTTTTTTTACGAAAATAAGAGGTTATTAACTTCTTTTAGAAAACCCCGCCACTTTCAAAGCTCAGAGCACCAACATTTTAAGAAAACTAAGCTATGAGCTTGAAAACGGTGAAAAACGTGATTGTATGAAAGTCATGCCTAAACGTTTTCTTTTAATTTGTATTTTTTAAATGAAGCTATTTGTATTTTGTATGAAGTTTTGTTCCTTTAAAAGGGTTTTATATTAAAGTAACACCTATGTAGAAAGCGACCATAAGAATCTCTCTTATCAAAAGAATCTATTAAGAATCTCCAAACCGGTAAACATTCACACCTTGCTACCTGTGTTCCTGGGATGCAGGTGTATAATTAGGAGTTTCCCACTTTTTCACGCCAGTTGCGCAGGTTGAGACAGGGGACACCCGAGACCAGGCTGTCCCCCCCTTCTATTTTTATTATTATTATTATTATTATTATTATTATTATTATTATTATTATTATATATATATATATATATATATATATATATATATATATACACATTTTTTTATCGTGGATTGTCTTTTATTGAGATACTCTGCAGCACGTAATGTCAGTAAAGTGGTCGTGAAAAAAGTGTTAATCTATATGAATATACATTCGGGCTTAGAACCGAAGGCTGGTGCTCTTTTTCATTACTCTTTTTAAGGGATTTTCATTTTGAAATGAGTGTGCGGATTTTTTTTTTTTTTTATGTACTTTTGTATTTTTTCAAGTTCTTTGGTACTTTCTCAAAAATTTAAGTTCTTTTTAAGGTGGGGGGGGGGGGGGTCGTCCTTCAGTTTTTGTAATTTTATTTGATGGAGTTTCTTATTTTATCGCTTTATAATAAATAATTTGGATCATCTGTGATTTTCTTAACTCTTATCAAGTTTTTAAAAGTTGATGTGCATGCTGATCTCATCTGATAGAGAATATTAAAGTTATTTGCTTGATAACTTACCTGAGAGAATTCTAAGTGACTTTTGCTTGATTACTTACAGGCGAGAATTCTAAGTAACTCTTGCTTGTTGACTGATTCACCTGAAAGAGAATTCTAAGTGACTTTTGCTTGATTACTTACAGGCGAGAATTCTAAGTAACTCTTGCTTGTTGACTGATTCGCCTGAAAGAGAATTCTAAGTGACTTTTGCTTGATTACTTAAGAGTAACTCTTGCTTGTTGACTGATACGCCCGAAAGAGAATTCTAAGTGACTTTTGCTTGATTACTTACCTGAGAGAATTCCAAGTGACTTTTCCTTGTTGATTGATTCACCTGAAAGAGACTTCCAAGTGACTTTTGCTTATTGATTGATTTTACCTAAAAGAGAATTATCTATGCTAAAAAGATAGCCTTATCCAAAACCCTTTACATGTGGTGAAATTCCCGTGCTCGTCTTCCTCGTTCTGGTTACGTTTACCTTGTCTTGCTGATTCACACATTGTACACTATGTACTACACAGCATTTCCCTTTCTTTCCCTCCTTTCCACATGTCTATCACATATTGCTTTCTCCCAACAAACACCCCGTACGTATTAAACGGGTGGTGGCAGTGAGAGCTAGTAATGTACGTTCTTGTACAGTAAGGCACGGTATTATTAAAGTTCAGTACACTACAGTGCCAAGAAATTTTCCCCGCACCCCCACAAACATTTGAGAAGTCTGGGGCGGCAAAGAAACGCTTCTAACATAACGCCTCCATGCAAACTCTTCAAAGCGAAAATCGAGAGTCTCATAAAGTGGCTGTTGCAGCATTTTGGATGGACTACCACAGACCAGTCGTTTTTGCCTGAAATAGCCGGCACTGCTCACCATATTTACCTGCACCCGATACTACTCCACGTGCAGTGCACACTGCAGCTAATATTTCACACCATTTCTTCGACAAGGCGAAGCACCAGTTCGAAGATGACATTAACAAGGGCATCATAGTAACAGTACTTGTTGGCGAACCAACAAGATGTTGCACACACATAGTTGTGGTTCTTAAGAATTGCAAACCACAGAATTCAAGATGCATTAAGGCAT